GGTTGGTGGCTTGATCCGTGCCAGGTGCAGGGTCTGCTGGCTGGGTGCTGGCAGGCTTGCACCTGGCACGGGCACCGTAGCCAGTCCGTGCCCCTTTAAGAGGTCCGGGGCCGGGAGGGGGGCATAGAGTTTCCCTGGTGTTGGCCAGAGTGGCCACCAGGGAAAGCTGGGGAGGGCTAGCCTCCCACTAGTTCGAATTAAGGGGCTACACACCCCTTAATTCGAACTAGTAAGTTTGAACTAGGCTTAATCCTCGTAAAATGAGGTTTTCCTAGTTCGAGCTAAGCGCTCCGCTAGTTCGATTCAAATTCGAACTAGCGGAGCGCTAGTGTAGCGGCTATGAATGTTAGTTCGAACTAACATCCGTTAGTTCGAACTAACTTTGTAGTGTAGACATACCCTCTTGGATTAAGGGGAGAATTTCAGAAGACTGCAAGAGTGCTTATGGGTTACTAGTGTTTGAAAAGGACAAAAAAGATGACATACTGCTTATCCTGACATCAAAATCCAGGCAAAATGGTGGAAAAGTTGATGTGGGAGTCAATTGATAAAGAATTAATGAACAGGGATATACTTAATGCCAGTCAACATGGTTTTGCAGCAAATAGGTCTTGTGAAGTAAACTTGATCTCACTTTTTGATGGGGCTGCAAGTTTGATTGATAATGGTAACTTCATAGATGTGAAATACTTAAGACTTTAATAAGGTATTTTGATTAGTACTGTACAACACTCTGATAAAGAAATTAGTCTTCTGATATCAATAGAGCATATATTAAATGGATTAAGAACTGACAAATAAAATAGTTGCCAGTGGGAGAAAATCACTGAATAGGGGTGTTTCTAGTGATGCACAACAGAGATTGGTATTAGGCCTGATGGTATTCAACAAATTCTGGAAGTAAATATAAAATAATTGCTGATAAAATATATGGCTGATGCACAAACTGGTAGATATTTATGATGATTGGGCAGCCATGCAGAGTTACTTGGATTGCTTGAGATCCTCGGTCCATTCAAACAAATTGTGTTTTAATACAGAAAAATGCCAAGGGATTAGTTGAGAATGAAGGAGATCAAGTTAATATTGGAAAGAGATAACATAGAAGATTGGTAAGTTACAGATGACTGCTTGGGTCTAATTGTAAAGCTCTACCCAGTCCTGAGCTTGGCCCAGATACAGATGATTTTTAACCCAATCTGAGAGTGTCAGGTGTTTTTTAGTCCCAACACTTCTGGAACCCATGTCGGTGACACTTCTGCCTCATCTTCAGGGATTGACCTGGTGGGGGATTTCCACTACTTCCCACAATCCATCTCTCTTTGCTTCCTACCCATGGAATTGGAGTAGCAGTAGTTGCATGACCCACTGCTGCCAGCCACCACTGCCTCACATGCCACACTCACTCTGTAACACACACAGTGCAATGGGAGGGCGATGGCAAGATGAAGCAGGGCACAAAGCTGCTGGAGAAGGTGATGAGCCAAGACTTGATCCCGTTCAACCTCAACCCATCTGGTTCAGGTCAGATTGGAAGACCCTAGTAAGGCATGATATTAAGTTGCTTAAAAATTTTGTTACCACGGTCTGATATTCCAGTTGATCTGTATAACATAAAGGTTGTAGCATTTCTCTATAGTTTTCCTCTTTTATCAATGTAAATAGAGATAAAATGGGTGATTCACCTTTTTGAGTATTTTATTGCAAGCAAATATCAAATATGATTACTGATAACATCAGTATCAATATAGATAGAGCATCTAGTTCCTCTTTGGTAATACGTTTACTTAAAGCTCAGTAAAGTTATAGCTAAGGACATAAAATATAGATGTATGAGCATATATTAAATGTAGACTCAAATTAACAGTTTGTTCCTTAGCCTAAACAATATCTATTAACAAAGTTGCATGAGCTTCTTTGACTTATGTTGAACTGTACAGTGTAACAAAGCGCCTATGAAAACTCAATCAGTTCTGCACTTCCTGGCAGATTTGCTTGCCTCAGAGGCTCACAGAAGCCCATAATTTTAGGCATCATTCCCAGGGTTTTAATTTGCTGTTTGTTGAGCTCTTCTCGTCATTGGCTAGTATATGGTAAAATGGAGAATAAACTCCATAGTCCTTCCTCCAAGTGGAAATAGAGGGCGTGCATTGGGGGGAAACAGGGACCACCCTCTACTCCAGGCCCATCAAGTACTCTCGACACCTGCTAGAATACAGCTCCAAAACCCATAGACTACTTCCCCACACCTTCCCCAGCACCTTCCTTCTCTCCCGTTTGTCTGCCTAGTTGTTATCTCCTTTCCTCCCAGCCGCGCACAGGCTATAGCTGACTCTGCAGGCTTGGTCAGCTAGCCCCAGGTGTTCCACTACCTCTGTTGGTTCTAAACCAGACCATCCCTGTTACTCTGGAGGCAGGGATCTCCTCAGTCTGAAGCTTATCTATCTCCCCTTCACTACTTTTTTATAGCCTTCAGTTCTGACCCTGTCACAACAGTTTTCAACTATGTGTCTACTGTGCAGTAAAAGGACACATCAAAACCACAGAGTGTTTTATTATTCAACTGCCTTCAATGAAGTAATGATAAATTGATGGAAAGCAAATCCCATAACTAGGTAGAAAATAATAGTCTGTCTCTGCATTGCAAGTCATGTGCATGGAATATTTTGCTTTCTCTTCCCTTCAAGAAATGGGCATTGGATTTTCACAACAGCAATAGGATTTAATGTGTGCACGACCTCAGTATTGTTCTGATGATGGTATTAGCTTGTTTATTAGCTTGTAGGGGCCTTACTGGAACCAATCCTATTCAACAGATCCATAAATGATCTTGGAAATGAGTAAAACAGTGAGGTGGTAAAGTTTGCAGGTGATCCTAAAATGCTCAACGAAGTAGATTGTGAAGAACTTGAAAAATATCTCACAAAGCTAGGTGACTAGACAACAAAGTGGCAAATGAATTTTAATGTTAATAAATGCAAAGTAATGCACATTGGAAAACTTAGTCCCCATAATTTTGTTCATATAACTGGATTATATTAGTTAATACCACTCAAGTGAGAGATCTTGTTGTCATTGTGGATAGTTCTCTGAAAACATCTACTCAATGTGCAGTAGCAGTCAAAAAAGCAAACAATGTTAGGAATAATTTAAAAAGGGATAGAGAATAAAACAAAGAATATCTTATTGCCTCTGCATAAATCCATGGTATGCCCACATCTTGCATATTGCATACAGATGTGGTCTCATCTCAAAAAAAGTTCTCAGCATTGGAAAAAGTTCAGAAAAAGGCAACAAAAATTAGGGGTTTAGAACAGCTGCCATATAAAGAGAGATTAAAAAGACTGTGACATTTTAGCTCCGAAAAAAAGAAGGCTAAAAGGGGATATGGTCTATAAAATCACAACTGGTATGGAGAAAGTGAATAAGGAAATATTATCTACTTGTTCCCCTAATACAAGAATTTGGGATCACCAAATGAAATTAATAGGTAGCAGGTTTAAAACAAACAAATGAACTGAAGTATTTCTTCATGCAGCACACAGTCAACCTATGGAACTCTTTGCCAGAGGATGTTGTGAAGAACAGTACTTTAACAGTGTTCAATAAAGAACTAGAAAAATTCTTGGAGGATAGGTTCATCAATGCTTATTAACCAGGAAGGGTAGAAATGGTATCCCTAGCCTCTGTTTTTCAGAGACTGGGAATGGGTGACAGGGGAAGGATCACTTGATGATAATCTGTTCTGTTCATTCCCTTTGGGGCACATGTCATTGGTCATGGTTGGAAGACAGGATATGGGGCTAGATGGACCTTTGGGCTGACCCACTATGGCCATTTTTATGTTCTTAGTAACTATTGGCCAGCTCATTCTTTTTTCACTGATCTTTTCTTTTTTCCTGCTAGGTTTATGATGAATGTGACCTGGGAAGGTAAAGATTTGTCCTTCACAGAAGATGGCTACCAGGTACATCCAAGGCTTGTGGTGATAGTGCTGAATAAAGACCGGAAATGGGAAAAGGTGAGCATTTGTCTTTGTGTCTTTGTGTTAATGTCCTGGAAGGCAAGATGAGAAAATTTCAGTGCTGCTCCCACTCCCATGAAAAACTTCTGAATTCCTAGTTTGTTGAAGTGAATACACCGTTATTCTTATTGTAAATGTAGGCAAATCTCCAAAATAGATTGGGGCTATGGTATGAGCTTATTTTCAACATAATGTGTATATTAAGCTATGTACACGGAACATATACTTTCAAATGTGCATGCCACTGACTGAAGGTAGGGGAAGGAGGATCCACTGGGCTAAAACATATAACTCAAAGTCTGGGCTTATGAGTTCTACCCCTGGTTTTGTTCTGTACATTTTGAGTGACCTTAAGTGCTTTAGTTTCTCCTTAAGTAAAATAAAGATAACAATATTTGCCTAATAGGAATATTGTTGACTCTTAATACATTCGTGATTTGAAGTCCTTAGATGTAAGGCTGTGTAACAGGGCAGCACTCACCTCTTGCAAGCCTCCTTCTGGCCAAGTGCATGTGCCTGCACTCTCTCCTATTCATAGGTTCTTTAGTGATTCAGCTTTTGAGCCGAGTCACATATACACATACCTTGTGCTGAAGTATACAAACCCCTTCTTTGGTACACATCTAAGAAGGGCCCATCTCAGTGCCCTCTGTAATGTCTCTGAGTCCCCACTCCAGAAAAGAATGGTCCCACAAGCATTCCCCTCCCAGAGGCAGTCTTTCCCCTCACCTCAGGTCTTACTCCAAATCCCAGCATAGTCCGCTGGTCTGCAATAAGCTCTCGACAGGAAGCTGTCAATGGTGCTGCTTTCTCAGCCAACCCATCACCCTGTCTGCATCCCTTGAGCTCCATACTGCAACTAACTTCTGTTCTGCTTTGCAGCTCTTTTTAAATAGGCTTCCTCACCCCTGCTTGGCTATGTCCCTTGCAGCCACTCTAGTCTGCCTGGAGGTCTTCTCTATTTCCTTTCGGTGTGGCAGGACCACAGGGCCTCTAGCAGGGAGACTCAAGACTGGTCCACCCCAGTCACAGGTTGTCTGTAAGAGCGCAGTATTTTCAAGATAGTTATTATAGCTGGCTGGTGGATGACCATTCTATTTTGCAACAATTCCTGAGGTTTTGAAATTTGTTTTTGCTTGTTATTGAAATGACAAAGAAACCTTTCAAACATTTTTGAGAAATAGAATTGTCTCAATGCATGTAAGTATTTTTGTATCAAAATTGTCATGTTTTCAATGCCAGGGTTCCTCTCTTTCATGTCAGAAGTGACTAGAAAAGCCCTCTAGGACCTCAGAAACTTTCCTGTTGAAAACATGTCAAAATCAGTACATCTCTGCAAAACATTTCCTATTTAATGAAATATTGTATTTATTTATTTATTTTAAATTTATTTATTTATTTAAAATGTTTTTACCCCACCTCTCTACTTCAAATATTCGTGGCAGCTTACAAATTTTTAAAAACAAAATCAATAAATAGTTAAATAAATAAATACATAAATAAATATAAAAGTAAACTACAGGACCCCAAAAGGGTGGCCTTGGCCTGGTGCTGAAACAGTGCCAATGTTGGTGCCAGGTGAATGTCCCAGGGGAGAGAATTCCATAGCTTAGGGGAAAGTCTGAAAAGACCCTGCTCCATGTAGATGTCAACCATATCTCCATAAGTGGAGGAACACGGATCAGAGCCTCCCTAGCCGACCTCAGTCCTCAGGCGGATTTGTATAGGAGGAGACGGTCCTTCAAATACCCCGGTCCCAACCCATTTAGGGCTTTTAAAGTCATAACCAAGACCTTGAATTGTGCCCGGAAACATACCGGAAGCCAGTGCAGCTGCCGGAGCACCGGCACCATGTGTTCCATAGAACGCGGATTATTTAAGACTCGAGCAGCTGCGTTCTGCACCAGTTGAAGCTTCTGTAGACTCTGCGAAGGCAGCCCCAGGTAGAGCGCATTACAATAATCCGAGCGGGATGTGACAAGAGCATGAATCACTGTAGCCAAGTATGAGTTGCAAGTTCTATCCTGATGACTTATGCACTTAGAGTGCTGATGATTGGTGGTATCTATACACATGCAGCCATACATCATTACTATTGGCACTATTATCTACTTCCTGCTGGTCTTTCTGTCTCTGTTTGCTGTCCCTATTCCATCCCTCTACTTTATATCCTCTTATCTCTCCTAGGTAGATTTAATACACTTTAAGATTTACGGAACACGGGGCAGAGCTTCCCAGCTGACCTCAATCCCTGGGCAGGTTTGTATAGAAGGAGATGGTCCTTCAAATACCCAGGTCCCAACCCATTTGGTTGGGGACCACGGGCCTAGGGGCAAAGGCAGAGAAGGCCCTTCTCCACATAGATGTCAACTTTATCTCCATAAGTGGAGGAACACGGGGCAGAGCTTCCCAGCTGACCTCAATCCCTGGGCAGGTTTGTATAGAAGGAGATGGTCCTTCAAATACCCAGGTCCCAACCCATTTAGGGCTTTGTAATTCATAACTAAGACCTTGGATTGTGCCTGGAAACACAGCTGCTGGAGCACCAGCATAATGTGCTCCGTATAATGAGTATTAGTTAAAACTCAAGAAGCTGCATTCTAGACAGTTGAAGCTTCTGAAGACTTTTCAAAGGCAGCTCCACGTAGAGCGAATTACAATAATCCAATCAGGATGTGACAAGAGCATGAATCACTGTAGCCAAGTCATTCTTATTCAGGAAGGGTCACAGCTGGCGGATCAGCCAAAGCTGCCCAAAAGTACTTCTGGCCACCAAGGAAATCTGATTTTCAAATGTTAAAAAAGGGTCCAGGAGGATTCCTAAGCTGCGTACATGTTCTTTCATGAGCAGTGTGATTCCAGCCAGATTAGGTAACACACCACATTCCTGGACAGATGGCTTCCTGATCCAGAGGACCTTGGTCTTATTTGGATTTAGCTTCAGCCTATTCGACTTCATCTATTTCATCACTGCTTCCAGACACTGGTTCAGATGGATCACTGCCATACCTGGATCTGATGTCACAGAGAAATAGAGTTGAGTGTCATCTGCATATTGATGGCACCATCCTCTAAATCTCCTTATGATCTCTCCCAGCAGTTTCATGTATATGTTAAACAGCATAGAGGACAAGATGGAATCTTGCGAGACCCTGTAGCACAATTGTCACAGGATTGAGCAGCAGTCCCCAAACTCCACCTTCTAAAAGTGTCCTGACAGGTAGGACCAGAAGTACTGCAAGATGGTGCCACTGATACCCTGCTCCACCGGGCACTCCAGAAGGATATCATGATTGATGGTATCGAAAGCCACCGAGAGGTCCAAGAGAATCAATAGGGATGCACTCCCTCTGTCTATCTCCTGGCATAGGTCATTTACCAGGGCAACCAAGGCAGTTTCTGCCCCCCAAGGCTTCCTAGTCCGTACTACCGTTACTCCTCATTCCACGAGGAGCGGCGTGGCACAGGGTTCAAACGAGCAGGGATTTAAAAATGGCAGCACCCAGTTTATGCAAATGAAGCCCGGGAAATTCAAATCCCGGGCTTCATTTGCAAGTGCGGTATGCCTACATTACCCTCCTAGTTCGAACTAGCGGGGTAGTGTAGACATACCCTTGGCCTTGTTTAGCTTGGAAATGAGAAGACTAAAAAGGGACATGAGAGCAGCTTTCAGGTATCTAAAAGAGGGTATGTCTACACTACAGCACTAATTCGAACTAACTTAATTTGAATTAGTTAATTCGAACTAAGCTAATTCGAACTAATGCATCGAGACCTAAATACTAGTTCGAATTAGCATTTTGCTAATTCGAACTAGCATGTCCACATTGAGTGGACCCTGAACCGGGGTTAAGGATGGCCGGAAGCAGTGCCGGCAGGGCATCAGATTTGGACTTAGAACGTGGAGCTGCTGTTTCAGGCTAGCCGAAGGCTGTGCTTAAAGGGACCCGACCCCCACCCCGGACAGACAGTTCTCAGGGGTTCCCCGCTCACTTGTCTAATTCGATGAGGGACAGCAAAGCAGTCCTGGCTTGGAGTGCCCTGAATGCCCGCACTCAGCACATCAGAGCACTCAGCCATCAGCCCAGCTGCACTTGCCGCAGGTTGCCATCCGGAGGGGGGGTCAGTGGAGGGGCTTCAGGAGGGCATTC